ATATCAATATCAATACGTAAGCTAAGTGCCAACTACAACAGATTCAGTTTTCGCAAATCAGCATCAAATGTAAACATGTTTATATTATTGTAAGTAATTATTGAAGCAATTAAATAAGACATAAGTAATTAAGAGTGGGTGGTTAGTTAACGTAGAGCTTAGGTGATATAAGTTAATACTTGATCGTGTTAACAATGTAGTACAAACAACGTAGTTATTTACGTAAGAATAATAATTATTATTTGTTTTAAATGTACAAAAATGTAACAATTTTGCGATTTAATAATAGATGCACTTTCAATATTATATACTTTATACTAATTGTACAATTTATTGGTGATCAACTGCTATTATAGTTTTATTAGTATAATTTTATACGTGAAAATAACAGAGATAAATCGCTTTTTTTAATAATTATTATACATAATAACGTAACTATTTGGTCTTGATAATTTCCCCGGAGCTTTACCATTAAAAAGTTTTTGTTTTTTTTTAACCTTGATTAAGTATTCTTCAAGATAGATCATACATATTTTAGTTCTCTAATCTTAAAATGTTCATCTCTCACACATAATTCTTTGGAATTCTAATAAAATATTAATTTGAAAACTCTGTGGTTTTAATATTTCATGATATTTTAAATAAAAATTAAATTCGTTAAACTGTGTACATTGTGTTCTTTAAGTAAAAATAAGTATGATAACTTTTTTATACATAAAAAAAAATAACATAGGTATTCAATTCAGTTCAGTTCAGAAGACTTACAAGTAATTAAATTATAAATTCATTACAATACTAATAAAATAATACCCACATTAAATTTTGAAACGAAAAACAAAACTAATGCAGTTTTTTTAAATTTAGAATGAATTTAAATATTTAATAAAAAAATTTGCATTAAAACTTTACTTAAATGTCAAAAAACACCTATACAGAATAAAATTTCTAAAATTAATTATGATAAAAACCAATTATTTTTTAAATAAAAATTTAGTATAATAATTAATCTATTCATTTTTGTTTTATAAAAATGTGAGAAAATATTTACAAACAATGTGAGTAATTTATAGTATAATAAATCGTTTAAAGTTGTATATGACTTTCTAAGCGTCTAAGCAGACATTTAACGTCCAGCATTTATCAGTTACGCAGTTTCATCAATCTTCCAATTCTTCTCAAAATGAAATTTTTAACGATCATGAAAACAGTCACACTTAAGTTTTTGTTTTTCAAACGTCGAGATAATATACACTTTTAGTTCAAGTGATTTTAACGCGTCATTTCAGATCTCGATCTCGAGTATGCTTAAGCTAGTATACTTGAGCTTTGAAAACAGTCCACAAGAATAGCGAGGAAGAATTATTATTATTTTTTTTTTAATTCTGTTTCCCTTAGTTGATTCTTTGTGTACTAGAGAAAGAAAGTAGAATATTACCAGATTAGGCCACCCCTTTTTAATTTTCATCTTAATTATCAATTTCCTTCGAGTTATTTGTGCTTTTTTTTTGTCTGTTAAATTAATATCCGGTTATATCATTCCGTTCGATTTTATATCCCCATCCATAGCCATTTCAAATTACTCTTGGGAGCAATTATTCTTCCAGACAAACAAATGCACTCAGCGCGTACCCGCAAAATAAATAACAATACCAAAAATAACACAGAGGCTGATCTGGTTAATGGGGGGAGAGCAAGCTCGCATAAAACAGCAATCAAAACTCATTTTTGAAAACGAATAATCATTTTGATTATACTTTTATTAGTAATGTTTATCAGTTGTTCATTTTGTTGATATACTACCGCAAACCACTACCGTGAATATTATACGTTGCCCCTTTCAACTTTCCACTGACAATTTATCGTCGAACCCTTGTCGCCAACGATTTTATTACCATTAAAATTTCACCGAAATGCACTCGTATAATATATAATATATATTTAATAGCTATTAGCGAATTTCAATGGTTTCTCGCGTACCTAATAAATATGTCCAAATTAAATCCACCAATCCAATTACCCTCCCAGAGAAATTCTTCATTAGAAACCTTCGCGGTAGAAAACGCAGTAAATGTCAATGAAATATTATCATCCGCTATTCTAAATTAGTGCCATTAAGAATGGTGTTATATGAAACCTAGTCATGGTGGCGATGGCATTATAATTGTTCTAGCTAAGCATCCAAAACAAATTAAAGTAATTTAAAACTGCTAAAAATCCGCTATGCGCCATAGTTGCTTACGTGTCTGTTCTTAGGCGTGTAATTAACAATAAGCTAAATGCGATATTGTATTTTACAGTACACGTAAATTTACACGAAAAGCATAATCTTAATAGACATTTTCCCTAAAAAAAAWTATCATATCGTCTAACTAGTAACGTAGGCTGCTGCTGTATAGTGGTATTTTTATTAATACAATATTATATTAAACTTTAATAATTTATAAAACGTTTATTAATATCATAAATCATATTTATTATTAATGCATTCATATAATATAACTTATAAGTAGTACCACTTATAACTTCGGAGTTAGGAGCGATTAAAATGTGTTTAATTTTATAGCCTCTCCAGGAATAAAATGCAAACACCATTTATAACACATATTTCAGGAAACCCTAAATTATATGTACCTACTCAAAGCTTTTTCAGAATATTTGCTTGAAAATAATTACTAATATAATACATAAACATTAATTTCACCAAACAACATGATATTATATACATTTGCGTAGAGAAATTTCTTTGTAGGAGTTTAAAAAATATATTTTTACATTGATGGGCTGGTATGTTGACTGATGTTTAATTTAGTAACTTGTGACTAGTATCATTAGTGTTCACCACATATTAACCATCTGCAGATTATAGATATTTAACACAAGATCCCAACACATCGGATGCTTTCTTATACAAAAATAACACTATAGATACGTAGGTAATTAATATATTTTACGATTCCCAGTGGTTTTATACATTATTTTATCTGCCATCAACTCTTAAGTTCTAGTCTGTTCTGAGGTGTTCGCGGTGCAAGGAAAGATAAAAACACATTAATGAATAAAAATAATATATATATACTTTTTCCCCTCACAATTTCTCGCTCGTTAATCACTATAATAAAATGTTTGAAAAGTAGAATTACTCATCTTCTTTTTTTTTTTGCAACTAAATGATTTGATATTTTATTTTGTTAAATAAAAAATAATTATAATAATAATAATCATCATCACCGAACGCATTATTGCATAAACGTAAGAGGCGATCTAGCGTCACTACTATACTATCCTACCAGAAGTATGGACATTGTATAATATTGCATGCAGGTTCCACGACGAAGACYACGCCAATTACTTGAACTCAATGTGGCTGATAGCCATCACGTTACTCAGTGTAGGCTACGGAGACATTGTACCAAACACGTACTGCGGACGAGGCATCACGCTCTCCTGCGGTATTATGGTAAGATTAATAATGACGAACACATACACAATACATGATAAACGCGCACGCGCGCGCGCACGCACACACACACACACACACACACACACACACAGTACACAAAAAACACAAACACATGTTTACAAACACAGCGCCATCGTGTGCTTTTACTTTTGACCAACCACCAATTCACCTCTTACTCGTGACCGAGAAAGAGAGAATTATTACTTTAAAACTCTTCATCAACACAAATACTAAAATTAAAATGTAATTAACTTTAACAATTAAAAGCGAACTGTTTACTCTGGAGCTTACAAAATTGGAATTGCGTTTATACACGCGTTTAAGCGCTGTACAACATGGTGTTTTCCGTGTAGTTAGTGAATCCGGAAAGTCGTTTTAAATTTCCCTCCTCTCACCCACCCCCACCAGCAATTCCAGTCACACATAATTCGATTAAGCTTATATTTCGAATAATAACGATCGTAAACCAATTTTAATAAGGGACACACCCAACCAACACTGCCTTAGCCGCCGCCGTAAATTAATTATGTCCTGGCACGAGCTTCTGCTAACTTTGTAGACGCGACACAAAGTTTTAGAACTTTATTTGCTTTAAAAAGCTATTTACATTCATTGGGAACCAATTGAATTGAAAGCGTTCRTATGTTCTACACTTGTGTCCAGTTATAATATTTTTTTTGTTTCKATTTTAAAAGGTGTGTGTTATTGAATTCCGAACACTTGTTAAATACTTTATATTGTAAATTTTTCATTCATCCGTCCAGAATTAACGTAAAAACTTTTATGTATAATATAACTTAACTCGTTGAACGTTGAGCACGTCCACCAACATCTAGGATTTAATTACTTCCAATAAGTATCAATTGTGTAACGTCACATTGTTTATTCAATATATATATTATTTTATGTCATCATCTCATATAATAATCGGTTTTTATTAATAAAAATTATCATTAGGAAATATCTAAATTAGTAGGATATAGTACAATTATTCATATTATTTATCTGGGGTCCTGTAATATATCTAACAAATTCGTGTTGTCTGAAATACGATGAAATTCTACATCGAAGAAGAGTAAATAACAAGTCACGCTTCATAATAGATCTTCTACGAAATATAAAATACAMGCACTCCTGAACTCGTGTTGATATTTCAAAACTTTTTTTTTTTAATGTCATTAATGTCATCATGATTGGATAATCGGGTTAGAACGCATCGTTCTGAATCCCTGGGGCTGATAAACAATTGAAGCAATGAATTTCATTTAATGTATTTCAACCAGTATTGTCATACGCGCAAAAGCGAATAGAATATGAACTCGTGTTTAAAATTGTGTTATTGTCTTTTTTTACGCATCTTAGTATTAATTTCGATACGGAAACTGTACATATCGATGTGTTTTTGGAGTCGATAGGAGAGAAAGATAATAAATCGTGGTTCATAAGAAATATTGTAATATTTATAATTTATAAATTATAATTTAATTTTTTACTGGGATTGGGTTGTGATCAATACTACACTGTGTCTGGGGCTCTGTAGGTTTCATGATGAAGATCACGCTAACCTGCTGAACTCCATGTGGTTCATAGCGATCACGTTCCTGAGCGTGGGCTTCGGAGACATAGTGCCAAACACTTACTGCGGTCGTGGCATTGCGGTCACCACTGGCATAATGGTAAGACCGACTCCAAAACAATCAAGCAAATATCCCAGTGGCCTCAAATTTAGTGACCAAATAGTCTATCCAGCCGATAGCGTCAAAAAATTCTAGCGTGCTTGCTTGGAAAATGCATTAAATTAATTAAGGAAAGAATACTATTGAGCGATGTYCAAATGGATTTAGATTTTAGAGTAGATGAATTTATTGGAAACATGATAATATAGCTATAGTGTCTAAGGGATTCATAGAAAATAAACGTTTTAAACTATATGTAATATGTAGATATTCAAAAAATATATATTAGTGTACCCCTATATAGGCTATAATGAGCGAATCAGAATAAAATAACTTTTAAGGTAAAAATATTAAATATTTTAATGGCATACCTACAAAGATTTTGTACATTTTCATAATTATAATAATGTTACACACTCCCTAATATTAGTTACTTTTGATGAAGCAACCAACAATTTTATAATATATAATTTTAAAATAAAATATTTTTCTGATAATATTAAATACATACGTTTATGATTTATCTGGTATTTCATTTTAGTTGATAGTTATTTGTTATAAGCCATTTAATTATATAATTAAAGTCAAAGCAATGAGTCTCATACTTGATTAATATACATCAACATTGTTAAAAATATAATAACTTACGATACTTAAAATTATACTTTACCGTTTAAAAATTGGAATTTGATATTTGTTGCCTATAAATAGGAGCAAGATAAGAAAATATTAATATAATTCAATGAAAAAGTAGATTTGGGTTAACAGTTTTAAAAAATGTGTGCTCACTAAAATGTATGAATATTTTCTGAGAAATGCCATATTTTACCTACAGAAATCCACCCTATATGTAAATTTACATAAACATTATATATATTATACTTTGTTTTTCAACTCAACATTCTTCCTCTCACATCAAACATGGTTTTATATGAATCCCTTTGATATAACAATAATAATAATTACATGTAAAAGCGTTTCAAAGCAATTATTTTAAGGACCGCTCACATAATGTAAATTCCAAATGTCTTACTTGAACATTCCGAACACCATGCAAAGCGCGTAGAAGCGCTTTATAAATATATAAAGCCCCTTGTACAGTAGTTTCAATAGCGCTTTAGATACAATAATATTATAGATATTTCGTAATTGATGTATAACATTGTTGATACTGTTGCGAAAATCACAAGTGATATTGTACAATTGTGTTGCAATTATTTATTATTATTATTATTATTATTATTACTTAGAAATTAGACACTTCTGTATAGACGCACTGTCTTAGATTTAGGTATTAACACCATAATAATATAACAACCAAAAAAAAAAATATTATTTATACTACAGTCGTTAACACGGCGTCCCGAGTAGGCAATTGTGGTGTCTTGATGCACTGCATACAGATAATATTATTTAAGCTCTGTTAATTCGAAAATTCATACCACTATAATAAAATAGTTAGTTGTTAGATAATGTTTGTATTATGTTGTAATAATTGAACAATTACAAAATAAAGACAAACAGGATAGTATGAACTATTTTTGTATATTTTTTATGTGAACACTAAACATATCTAATCGCCATGCAATGTCAAATGTATCACGCTTTGTCTAACACTATTTTGCCTCATTCACGTTTCAAGAAAATAAAACATGGGCTTTAAAACAAAATGAAAACTCCACAACAATCATAATAATATGTAAATAATTTTTCGATTTTTCACTAACCCGGGATGCACGTTGTAATATTATTTTATTTTTAAGTGTAACTGTACAGGAACTTCTTTGTTTAATATTGCATGAACATAATAATATATGGTTAATGGGCATTAAAACGCTTGTTGATTTGTAAAACTAAAGTAAAAAAATGTGCACTCGATTATTTTCTACAAAAATACTTAATGTTTAGAGGTTGATATAGTGTACATCCAAACACGAAACACCGAAATTTATTCGACGAGATGGAGCACATCTGTAATTGTAGTACAACGACTCCAAATACACATTGATATTATAATGGAACATGCTTTAATTTTCCACAATCCCAATTATTTTGCCAAATGCCATCACTAATGATATTTTAATTCTACGTGGATGAATGAAAGAACAAAATAATATATTTTATTTAAACATCGACCGAGCAGTGGGCCTAATTACTGTGACATCGAAAATTGGATCGCACCAATGGACTTTTCCGATAACAACAGTATCCTAGTCCTAACTGTTAATCAGAGTTAAACAAAAGAGTTAAACACTACGCTTTTAATAAATTTAACAAATTAATTCAATTATAAAAATAAGCATACATTTCTACTAGTACATAAAGCCTTTAAATTGCATGAATAGAGCTATTTTTTATCATTATTATTATTACTATAAAAACATCATCATCTTCGTTCTGGACAAAAAATATTTTTTTTAAATATTTTCCACTTACAATTTTTGTTATTCTTTAACCATCATCAATCATTTATAAAACAAACTTCCACCAAACTTATATTAATAACTTTGCATGAACAAATTTATGTTGGCTTTAATCATCAAACACTATAAATAGACAACTATACTAACTATAATGTAGTGTTGTTTTTCTCCTTCAAAATATTTGCTCCGATTTTATTTTAACCACCAATTCTGGTCTTAAATAACCATGAATTAAATGATGTTTCCAGGGCGCCGGATGCACTGCTCTTCTAGTGGCTGTTGTGTCACGGAAGATGGAACTGTCTAGAGCAGAGAAACACGTCCATAATTTCATGATGGACACTCAACTTACAAAACGAGTACAATATTAAATAATTTGTATACTATTAATGTGGATAACTTTTTTTTCATTAAAAATATATTATTTGTTTWTCAGCTGAAAAATGCTGCGGCCAACGTCCTCAGAGAGACGTGGCTGATCTACAAACACACCAGACTGGTGAAAAGGGTGAATGCAGGCAGGGTTCGAACACACCAACGAAAATTCTTGTTGGCTATATACGCGTAAGTCTATTAAAATTCAATATTACCCGAAACGTTTGTCGGCCGTCAAAAGAAAATCTCTGTAGAAAAACTATAATAGACTTAAACGGCTCAAGAACAACCGTAAAATGGCATTCGTTATATTGTTCGAAAACAATTATATTTCGTATCTAAACATTCCATTATTGTGTTTGTAGCACACAGTATATTCAAATGCATTTCTTTTTCATGACTTTACCGAGTTGAATGTAAAATAATAAGTTGTCCCAACTCAACGCGCTTGTGGTAATTAAATACTAGTAGTTTCCTTATAAACAACTACATGACGTCACTAACCCTTTTCAATTAAACTCTTCAATTAAAACAACCGCACTTCCCTCGAGGGGATAACAAGAGTTTTKATATACAACAATTTTATTCCAACCGAATGCGGACATTTTTCAAGTAGACAGTTTGAGAAATAATACTCGATACAACCACCGTTAGACTGTTTAAAACTCGGGTGTTATGTTTTTAGTTTGAGATAAATATTTTTATGTTTATCTCAGGTTGAGAAAAGTGAAAATGGACCAAAGAAAATTAATGGACAACGCAAATACAATAACAGACATGGCCAAAGTGAGTAACAGAAATTACCTTCAACGTAACAGCAAATATGGAGGATAATGATTGATATATTTTTAGACGCAGAACACTGTTTATGAAATTGTATCCGACATGAGTAATCGATACGATGCGTTTGAAGAACGTTTGGTGAATCTCGAAGATAAACTGGTAGCCCTACAAGAACAGGTGAATAATACAATTCCATATTGTTTATTGCTTTATCGTATTAATGTCATTCCCAGTTGGGACGACTATAAAATACTATCAATGTATATATTTATTATATGGTATGCGTGCAATATCGTGTTCGGAAAATATTAAACATTTTGTTTTTAAACCAATTACAATAAAAAATATTCTTTATCGGTATGGTACTTAAAGATTCATTTACTTAAAATTATTTCTTCTTCCTTCTACAGGCTAAGTAAAGTCAYAGTTATACGGACTTACAGTTTCGTAGAAATCATTTTGTTTTGTTATTATAACTAAGAATAAAGGAATTTAATCAAACATAATATTAAACAACAATCTGAAGTCTTAATGAACCATTTCTAAATAAAAGATAAATTTTATAGTCATAACTTCTGTAAATTATTTTACATGGCCGAATAAATGAAATGTATTTCAATCGAGTTATACAACTAGAATTACATAACACGGTGTTACATCAAATTATAATATTATGTAATTGAAACTTTGATTAATTTTCTGACGTATTTGAGTTTTATAGATATAACAACCATTTATTTTACATTATGATTTATAAATAATTAATTCATTTAATTTGAATATTATATAATTATTACATACCGTTACAATTTTTATATTATTCTGAGCTTATACATTCACCTTTATTTACAGTTTACACCATCATTATTCTTTAACAAACAACTATTATTTTATGCTTAGTACAGAATCTCTTATTGGTCTTTAAACTGCCAAGTAATTAGGTCAAAATTAACATTTTATTTTTCATTGAGCTTACGAAAATTAAATAGTCGTTTGATAAAAAAAAAAGTTTGTTAATGACTTCCAACCGAGCGGACAATCTTTAAAAAATAATGACAATAATAATATCATAAATAGATAATAATTCTAAACGCTTGCCAAATATCAGGAAAAATTCCACTTGATTACACATATTCAAGTGATTGAACCACATCTAAATTTAATCCACTCAGACGGTTTTTACGGGGTGAAAAAATATGGATATTGGTTAAAAGTATTTTACCTAATTTTTAATATTATTTCCACACGTTCGAAAAATATTCTTCTCATGACAAAGAACATTTTAAGTGATATCTCAATGTGAACTRTWCACCGGAAAAGCCTGAAATAATCGGAGCTACGTAGTAGGTGCTGTTTTCATTAGTCGTTAAATATCAGTCATAATGCTCTTAATAATAATACTCTACAAACATTTGCCCGAGTACTAAATCGTTTGCTTTGATGGTGTTCAAATTCAATTTGTCGAGTAATCGAAGTAATAACATCCGTACCCGTGTCTCGCACATCCGATCTCACTCTTGATATCTGAAGCTGTTTTTTGGGAGGGGTTGTTGAGCGATAGCGGGGAACTGTTGGGAGGAACCAACATGACGTGCAGCTAACATTTTATTTACAAACAGTGTCATCTGAACTGACAAATATGGACATAAGCTGTAATCTCTGCCAAAAGTCTCAATTCAATCAAATTTCTGTCAAACAATCAGTTTTATTAGATATGCCGGCACAATATTCATGGTTAAGGAAACATAATATTGTTATTAATTGTTATTGATCGACAGTTGAAAATAACATCAAGGATGATTTCTRCGTTTTTATTATAATTATTATTTTCATTTTTATTTGTTTAAATACATTTAAGTTATGGCTTATACTTAAAACTATATTATTATCGAGAAGTAAAAAAAATTAAAAACATAAATTATTATACTCTCCTGCAATAATAAACGTATTACAATATTTGATTTCTACATAATATTCCTAAATAAATACACATCATCAGCTAGGTACCATTAAAATATCATAATCACACAAGATATCTATTTTTAACATTCTTACGCACATTTTTTTTTTTTTTAATTGGTCTTTATAGCTTCGGCGACATGGGCCATTATAGCTTTATACATAATTTACATTATACTATTCTTAAAACTATATTTATTCTAATTAAATGTATTTATCTATTTTGGTTGTCCTKAGGRACGACATGATTTTTTCGGGTTGACAGTCGGGTCCGATTGATTCGTATAAGTTGGTTGATATAATATCTAGTTTTTCTCTTTCTTCTTCATTTACGCACATATTGTACAAATAATTATATGAAAAAATTTCTTTCCAATATTCATAAAAGAATGTGATTCAAAAAAGYATAATATTCAGTACTAAATCCAGATGGTTCTTTTTAAGGTAAAACCTAATTTTTCTTGAAAAATATTAAAAAATTTAGAAATTTTATTTTGACATATTTTAAATTCATAAAATTTACATTCAAATTATATTTTTACCATCAAAATTTTTTTAATCACAGAATATGCATTATTAAATTTATTTTCAAGAGGAGAATATATATCTGAAAATGTCAACAGTTAAAAATCGAATATTTAACGATTATACACCTATTGATGTTGTCTATTGATTAGTTACAACTTATAGCTTATGAGAATTTAAAGGAGCGATGAGCTTATGAACGGATTAGTAAAACAACATTATGCAGAGTACCTTTTATTTTTTTTTTACAATGTCGACCAATTTAGTGATGTTTGATGTTTGCCCTTAATTTCCACGATATAAMGAAATAGGAGCAGATGTTGGAAATCTGTGTATAATAATATGTGTCGGATAATCCATTAAAAAAATGCGGGTCATGTCTGTGCAGCTGGAGCTGTTGCCGGAGATCCTGACCCGGTGCATAGCGCAGAACCAGCAGAACACCAGCAACCTGTCGTCGACGACGGAGTCTAGGCGCAACTTCCTGCACCCAGAATCGGCGGCCGCGGCGGCCACCGGCGGCCAGATGCAACCGTCCGTTTCGTCTCCGGCGGGCAGCATGACCGGCGTCGGTGGCAACCCGATGATGTTCCCGTCGTCCTCCGGCGCCACGAGCGGCGGCATGATGTTGGCCATGGGTAACGGGTCGACGGTCATGTCGCACTCGCGCAGCGTGCCTCCAACAGGTGCCGGCGGCGCGTCCCATTACCACTGGCCCACCAGTCCCATATTGCCGCCAATCAGCAGCCGGACGCCGCATTTAGTGCCCGAGCCCATCCAGCCGTCCAGCTGAGCCCACGCCCGACCGCCGCCCATCGGTAGGTATTATTATGATGTATCTCGTATAATTAATTGCCAACTATCACGTCACGTCGGGTTATTTCACAACGTAGGTAAATTATTACAACCCATTTTTTTCGTCATACAACGAAATATTGCTGAACACGTGGAGCTGGAATTTAAAAATTATTGTATTCTCTAATATTATACTAAATGCAGCATATTGCATAATATACTACAACATGGTTTCCCAATAGCGGTTAATCAATATAATATATATAGATAGATGGATGCTGCTAGTAAAAGGTATTTTTATTTTTTTATTTTAAGCCTCGGCTACTATGGCAATTGGCAACAATGGGTTTAACTCTAAATTATTTACAAGTTATATAATTTACATGTAATAGGTATTATAAATTTAAAGAATATGTATAGAATGTAGATTAATTTCAATAAAAAAAAAAAATGTATTGTATATTATTATAAACGCATCATTTATACTTTACTTAGTTATTTTACATTTTAATCGTAACTGTTTGTTAATATATCAAAATGCAGATAAACCTAAGTATCTAACCTACTGAATTATTTTTATCTTATTTTCAGTCTTTGTTGTGAATTATGGTTTATTTTAATACCGTGGGTACATTGTTGTATTTATTATTTTGAACTCGCATTAATAATATATGATGATATTTTAATATTATTAAAACAATAGCATACCTACCTATTATATAATTCCCCACCTCGTCCATCGTTAGGTGGATACCTACCTGCAGATTATTATCATATATTTGAATCCATACGTAGGTAGATTATCTATATTTACTTTTACTGTCTAGCACACGCTGCTGCTTTTATCATAGATACCTAACTATATCGATTGCTGTCGTCGCCAAAGTATTTTATCTCGCCCCGACGTATCGTAAAATAAGACCACCGTTCTCGTTATCGACCTTGGCTTTTGTTATTTCCACGGCGTCCCTACGTTTTTATTTTAATACCATATAGTGCGGTACATACCTGGTAGGTATACCTTATATATTATACCCTTGCCACGGTGTAGGTACCATCGGGCTTTGCGGAAGAAAAAACCGATAGTATTTTTTACTGTAGGTGCGAGGAATCTATTAGATTCGAAGAGAGAGAAAGAGAGAGAAATCTAGTCTCCAAATCAATAATTTTAATGCRTGCGTGGGCGGTGGGAGATGTGAATATCTGAATTCGCGTCGCGCGTCTTTGCACCCTTTACAGAGCACCATCACACGAGTGTTCTGCAACAGTGAATATAAAATGGTTATTATCTGGAATCGTTCGAATTTAATAATAACACAGATGCACACGTTTGTAACTAATTTCGGTCCGTCGCTAAATCCATTGTATATTTTTATACATACCTATATATGTGTGTGT